ACCGAGATGAGATGAAGATGAATCAGCGTAGGCTGCTGACTTGTATATTCCAACGATTTTGGAATTAGCCCTGTTGCCGTCGTCCTTCCAGTGGGTCATCGTTTATCATGGTGACCTCATCATGTTTGTTTGGAGTAGGTCCTGGGGCTGAGATGAGATCATCCATCTGGGATGCCCTTGGGCGTGCCCCCTAAAATTTGCCTCCTGTGCCTCTCTAACCATAGCCTCTCCTTCCTTGAACCTCCTCCTTGGTTTCCTGCGTACTTTGGATCCAACTAAGTTTCTAGTCCCTGGCACCGAAACCTTCCTTAACTTCCTCTCCTTCTCATGTTACTGTTCAAACCTCATTGTATTATCTATCCTTCCCTTATAGATTAATGAAGTTGGAAGGTGCCTATAAGACCATCGAGTCCCACCTTCTGCTCAATATCATCCTTTATTATATTCCTATCTCCCCAATCTAGTGGCTAGCCAGCACTCCAGGCGATTTACACAAACTGAACAGGTAAATAACATCAAACATAATATAAAGATAACAACATTTTTTAAAAAAAGCCTGAAACACTTATAACCTCCCAGATGGCAACAACTAAATCAAATAAATTCTATAAAATGGGTTAGGGGAAGCTCTCAAAAACAGGAGGGATGTTCCTGGACGCCAGTCTATAAAATGCCATTTTAATCAGCTTCCCTGAAGGCCAAAAGAGAGGGCAGGAAGTTCCATAATGTCATGGTCACCACCGAGAAAGCCGGTTTCTGGATGTCATTTTCGAGGCCTCCCTCTGGATAGCCACCCTGAACAAAGAAGCCTGAGATAAACAAGTCATCCAGATAGAAGACCTTAGGGAGAGAAACTCCGATAAATGATCCATTGCTGGTGTGCGTGTTTTTATATTATATTTTACTATGTTTTAACAATATTCTTATCTTACCGTCTGCCTAGTTATTTCTTTACGAGTGGAGTTTGCAGGCCATTTTCCCGCCCCGAAGAAGATTCAAGGTCACT